TATATATATATATATATATATAGATATATATATATATATATATATATATATATATATATATATATATATATATATATATATATATATATATATATATATATATATATATATATATATATATATATATATATATATATATATATATATATATATATATATATATATATATATATATATATATATATATATATATATATATATATATATATATATATATATATATATATATATATATATATATATATATATATATATATATATATATATATATATATATATATATATATATATATATATATATATATCTCTATATATATCTATATATATATATCTATATATATATATATATATATATATATATATATATATATATATATATATATATATATATATATATATATATATATATATATATATATATATATATATATATATATATATATATATATATATATATATATATATATATATATATATATATATATATATATATATATATATATATATATATATATATATATATATATATATATATATATATATATATATATATATATATATATATATATATATATATATATATATATATATATTAAAGAGCAATTCCGTGCAAATTCCAAGGTTTTTACCAAAATGTGGAAACCATTTCTGGGTTATTTATGTGAGGGAGTATTTTACAGTACTTCAGAAATACTCAAAAATGCATCTGTCAATGTTTTATAACTATTATATTTGATTTACCAAGGTCGAATAAGTGCCAATTTCAAATCGCTCACATCCATAACGACACTTTTCCCTCATAAATGTGAAAATATTACATAAAATAAAGCCAATCTTTTTTGTTTTGATGAGAGCCAGCTCTTATTCTTTTGATTAGCGTTGTTTCTTTCGGGTTTGTGCAGTTTAATTGGCAGAATTTCTTCAAAGCATGTTGTATACTGTAAACCTGCAGACTTTTTTATGTCACATCCATCCTTATTTGATATACAGAACATGTTTACAGATTGATATTTTTCTGTTCTCTTAATTCTGTGGTCAGTTGTTCTGGAAAATATGAACAAAAGTGTATTTCTTTTCTCTCTGTTTGGGCTCTCTATGCAGAATTATGCAAACATCAAAGTTATTATTCTGCTGTGTTATCATATAGCATCTATAGAATTACTAGAACTTGCTTAATAATAAATTTACCATAGTATGGTTAAAAAACAGCACTATTTACTATAATTTACTGTAGTATTTTTCATATGAGGTATTCAATACATTTTTCGATGACTCATGAAATATTCATGTTTTATCTCACTGTCTGGGCTGTCAGTGTCAGTAATGAGTGTGTTAATGATGTGGACATTCAGTCAAATATCTGCAGTTCCACGAACTCTGACCTCTGTGTTGATCCGGTCACATCAGTCGCCCTTAAGGCTGTAGGTTGGTATCAGCGGTGTTATCTGCTTACTGATAGCTGGACTGACTGTACATACTCGCACTGTGCGCTGTCAGAGGCGGTTAATGACGTCTCAGCTCGACATATTTAACATTTTATTATTATTTATGATCACTTATTCGAGCTAAATTAACGTTTAAAATCTGTCTCTGGCTGTTTTCGGAGATCATTTCCGACAGTGTGTTGTTGTTTACTCCGAGTGATTTACTGAGGCGAATCTTTTTGGTAAGGGGCGGGCTTTAGCCGAGTCTCTTGTTTTCCTGCGTTCTGATTGGTCCGTGTGAAGCGCTCCTCTGTTTAACATTCGGTTTCCATAGCGTTTGTTTAAAGAGGCGTGGCCAAGCAAACACACTCAGCTAAAAGATCATCGACACAGAAAACTGCAGATCTGCTGAATCACGCGTTACACCACAGCGACAGGCATATCAGCAGCTTGAGCAATCCCTGCATTTACTATCAGTCTTACAGCCTAATTAAACTGTTACTGGCATTATTGTCACTATTATTATCATCATTTTGATTTTGAATTAGTGTTTTCAGTTAAGTGTTTGTCATTTTTATTAAAATAAGTCTCTTAAAACATAAATAAAAAATACAAAAAATAAATCTCTTAACTACAATAAAATTGAACAAGAACATTTTTAAAACATTTATTTTACCTGGGTAGTCATTTTTACAAAATTAAAATAATAAAATAAAGTCCACATGAAATATTTTATTAATTCATTTTTATTTATTTATTTATTTGTTTGTTTATTTATTTATTTTTTTATTTATTTTTTGCTGAAGTTAACAATTAATTTGTTTTTGGTTTATTTTTGGTAATCTTTCATCCAAATCTGCCCATCTGATTTGTAGATTTGTAGATAGATTTGTTAACCCCCATTCAACCAACCACCAACCCCCCCCCCCCACATGAAAAGTCCCCATGAACCGGTAGCTGCTATCGTTTTTTTTTTTTTTTTTTCCGTTTTGACGCAGTGGGTGTGGCTTTTTGTTCTACTGTGAGTTTATTGGCTGTAGTAAAGTAGGCGTGTCATTCAGAAAGATGGGGAAAAGGATTTAATGCTAGTTAATACAATTTAGCAGACTCCTCCTGCTCTCCATTTTGTTTGCACATTAGTACCATTTGAGCATCAACGCCACAGCCTACCTGAGTATTGTTGCTGACCATGTCCATTCCTTTATGACCACAGTGTCTCTATCTTCTGATGGCTACTTCCAGCAGGATAGCGCACCATGTCATAAAGCTCAATCATCTCAGACTGGTTTCTTGAACGTGACAATGAGTTCACTGTACTCAAATGGCCTCCACAGTCACCAGATCTCAATCCAATAGAGCAGCTTTGGGATGTGGTGGAGCGGGAGATTGGCATTATGGATGTGCAGCCGACAAATCTGCAGCAACTGCGTGATGCTATCATGTAAACATGAAGGAAAATCTCTGAGGAATATTTCCAGTATCTTGCTGAATCTCTGCCACAAAGGATTAAGGCAGTTCTGAAGGCAAAAGGCGGGTCCAACCTGGTACTACTACGGTGTACCTAATAAAGTGGCCGCTGAGTCTAGTTTGTTGTATTTACCTTCAGCCTGCGGCTCTCATAGATATTTAGTTTTTGGCCCTTTATACAAAACCATTTGGACACCTCTGCTTTAAATGATCATCAGTCTGACTAGAGTGTGTGTGTGTGTGTGTGTGTGTGTGTGTGTGTGTGTGTGTGTGTGTTTGTGTGTGTGTTTCAGGCTCATCCGGCGGTGAAGGCCTTCATGTGTGGTTCTCTGAGCGGGACGTGCTCCACACTGCTCTTCCAGCCATTGGACCTGGTGAAAACACGCCTGCAGACCCTACAGAGTGGCGTCCAGCCTGGGTCAGTGCTCATACGGGGCGCTGTGACCGACGCATACAGTGCAGTCTGACTGAACTGAGCCTTATTGTGTGTGTTTTCTGTGCCTCAGGACGGGACGGGTCGGGATGGTCACAGTGTTTGTGAATGTGCTGCGGACGGAGAAGCTGCTCGGGCTGTGGAGAGGCGTCTCACCGGTGAGTAACACATTCAGGTGTGACCCTGGACCACAAACAACAGTCATCAGTGTTGAGATTGATTCATTTGAAGGATGAATAGATAAGCTTTCCATTCAGGTAGGGTTTATTAGGACAGGACAGGACAATATTTGGCTGACATACAGAACAACAATCTCAAATCTGAGACTTCAGAAACATTTTATTATTGACAGAATCACATTTGAAATTGAACAATCACAATTAACAATGCAAATTATTAAGAAAAAACTGTGTTTTTTAATATATTTAGAGTAGTAAATGTAACATAAACATGATTTTTGACATAAAATATATTCAACCCTTGTGTTTTGTTCAAATTGACTACGCTTTCATCATGTTCTCGGCTGTTTTTGACCTCCATTATAATCACATTGTTTGATTGCAAAGCCTTTATTCATGCATATCGTCATACGTTTTTGATTGTAGCTGGTTTTCCCTGTTGGAAAGAGTTAGAATTAGTAATTTTGGCAGCATTAACCCTTCAGACAGACCTTTGCTAAAGAGTTTCTGGCTTTTATGGGGCCATCCTTTTTTTGATGGATGGGGCAACCATTACTGCATCCAAAATGGTGAAAAGCCTTGGAGTAACGATTGATGACCAACTAAACTTCTTTGACCACGTTTCTAGAAAGGCTCGATCGTGCAGATTCGCACTCTATAACATCAGAAAGATCCGACCCTTCTTATCTGAACATGCAGCTCAACTCCTTGTTCAAGCTCTTGTTCTCTCCAGACTGCACTATTGCAACTCTCTACTAGCCAGGCTTCCAGCTAACTCTATCAAGCCTCTTCAGATGCTCCAGAATGCAGCAGCACGAGTGGTCTTCAATGAACCTAAAAGAGCACATGTCGCTCCGCTGCTCATCCGTTTGCACTGGCTGCCAGTGGCTGCTCGCATCAAATTCAAAGCTCTGATGTTTGCCTACAAAGCGACTTCTGGCTCTGCTCCATCTTATCTGCTCTCATTTCTGCAGATGTATGTGCCCTCCAGAAACTTGCGTTCTGTGAATGAACGTCGCCTCGTGGTTCCATCCCAAAGAGGGAAGAAATCACTTTCCCGAACGCTCGCATTCAATCTGCCCAGTTTGTGGATTGAACTACCTAACTGCATCAGAACGGCAGAGTCACTCGCTATTTTCAAGAAACGACTAAAAACTCAACTATTTAGTCTCCACTTCCCCTCCTAATCTGCAATCTCTGGCTCCACCGCTAACTGTACTCAAAAAAAATTACTAATGTTTTGCTTCTTACACTTTACACACCTGAAACTTGCCTACAGCACTTATTCATTGTTGCTCTTATAGTTGTGTAAGTTGCTTCCTTGTCCTCATTTGTAAGTCGCTTTGGATAAAAGCATCTGCTAAATGACTAAATGTAAATGTAAACATTTTATATGGAGTTCAGTGGAGTAAAAAAGCAGATTATAGTGTGTGTGCACAGAAATACACTTCCAATCTTTACTATGTTTTAGGAGTGAGGTGCTTATTTAGATTTTCTCAGACATACAATGGTGATGTATGTTTAGATAACAGCAAGACTTTTTTTAGTGTTAAAATCCTGGACGTGTCCTGTAAAGATGGCACGTAAAGTCACCCTAAGGCAGGGGTGCTCAGTCCTGTTCCTGGAGATCTACCTTCTTGTAGATTTCAGTTGCTACCTATTTCAAATACACCTGCCTGTAATTATCAAGTGCTGTTCAGGTCCTAATTAATTGGTTCAGGTGTGTTTGATCAGGGTGAGAGCTGTGTTTTGCAGGAAGGTAGATCTCCAGGAACAGGATTGAACAGCCCTGCCCCAAGGTGTGATATATCTCTACAATGCGTGCGTCCTTCTGATTATACTGTCTGTTTCTGTCTCTCCGCAGTCGTTCGTGCGCTGTATTCCAGGAGTCGGGATCTACTTCAGCACCTATTTCACTCTAAAGCAGCGTTATTTCTCCAGCGGGGCCCCGGGGCCCTTGCAGGCGGTGCTGCTGGGAGCCGGAGCCAGATGTGTGGCTGGAGTATTCATGCTGCCTGTCACCGTCATCAAAACACGCTTCGAGGTGTGTAGACAAATAAAAAAGCCACTGATATACTCTGTGAGTGTCACGGTTGTAGGTGTGTGCGCACTTCTGAGTGTCTGTTTGGTCACATGGTTTTGTTTTGTTTTGGTGTTCCACGTGTGTCTGGTGTCAGTGTTTTGTCACATGCTATGTGGAGCCCTGCTATCCTGATTATCCTGCCAGCTGCGACTCGTTATCTCGGCTATATATGGACAGCGCGTCTCTTGTCTCGTGTCTGTTCGTTCTGTTACGGGTGTACAAGAGAAATGGAAGGACCCAATATGCAAGTAAAATACTTTAGTGACACAGTCAATATAGTATAACAAAAGTCCAAAACGGAAAAATAAACAAACAAAAGATACCCCTGCTGAAAAATCCAGCTTAAACCAGCCTAGGCTGGTTGGCTGGTTTTAGCTGGTCGACCAGGCTGGTTTTAGAGGGGTTTTGGCCATTTCCAGGCTGGTTTTCAGCCATTTCCAGCCTGATCTTAGCTGGTCAGGCTGGGAGATGACCAGCCAAATCCAGCTAAAACCAGCTTGACCTGCCTGGTTTAAGCTGGATATAGCTGGTTTTGGCTGGAGTCCCAGCTTGGCTAGGCTGGTCAAGCTGGTTTTAGCTGGTCATCTCCCAGCTTGGCCAGCTAAGATCAGGCTGGAAATGGCTGAAAACCAGCCTGGAAATGGCCAAAACCCCTCTAAAACCAGCCTGGTCAACCAGCTAAAACCAGCCAACCAGCCTAGGCTGGTTTAAGCTGGATTTTTCAGCAGGGACGATATCCCACTCAAGCAGGGATCAGGAAAACAGACGGGAACCGTGTAGCTCTAGGTCTCAGAAAGGAACTCCACGCCAGTCCTAAACACAGAGAGCTCATCAAGAGTAATAACGAACTGACACGAGACAAGAGATGCGCTGTCTAGATATAGTTAACGAGTCGCAGCTGGCAGGCTAATCAGGATAGCAGGGCTCCACATAGCATGTGACAAAACACTGACACCAGACACACGTGGAACACCAAAACAAAACAAAACCATGCAGTAGTATCTGGATGCAGTCTTTATGATGCAAGCGGAGATTGCATCACTCAGCGATGCAATGTCAGACACAATGCACTCAATGGAGTGAGTGACATCACTGTGACGGGTAGGGTTAGGGGTGGGGTTACACTGCACCGAGTCTGCAGCCAGACCCCTCTCAAACCATGTGACCAAGCAGACACTCAGAAGTGCGCACACACCTACAGCCGTGACAGTGAGGAAGTCGCTGGGGTGTGTAGGAAAACATTGCGCAATTCTGAGTGTGCTTCATTCCAGGACACACTCATTTTCTCTCCGTATGCACCACACACTTCATTATAAAACCTCCATATTTTTAAAAACAACATGCAATTCTGAGTGTGCTTCACGCGGGTGAGTGTGCTGGACAAACCACCTGTAGGACACACTCTTTTTCTCTCCGTATGCACCAGACACTTTATAATAAACACTCTATTAATCTGAAAACATAGTGCAATTCTGAGTGTGCTTCATTCAGGTTAGTGCACTGGACAAACCACCTTAAACCTGAAGGAAACACACTCTTTCCTTTCCATATGCACCAGACACTTTATAATAAACACTATTTTTGTGAAAACATTGTGCAATTTTGAGTGCTTCATGCAGGTGAGTGTGCTGGAAAAACCACCTCAAACCTGTAGGAGTCCTCTCCATATGCACCAGACACTTTCCTACAAACATTGTTACAAGGACTAATTATTGATATTAAATCTTTTAAACTAACTTGTGGCGTTTCCCATTGAGGGGTGGAGTTTGGTATAGTATAATATGCATTTATGTCTGTTTCCTCTACCAAAGGTACAAAAAAAAAAAAACTAGACCACTTTTTTGCCACCGTTAACCTCAACCTAGCACAACAAAATGAAACCAAGTGGGTTTACAGAGAATCGACATACACAAGGTGGCATTTTTTATACACAGACAAGACATGACACTGTAATAATAGAGCGATGGCATACAGCAATGAGCCATGGAGCTCTAACAGACGTTGTTTGCGTCTTGTGACAAACATCCACATGCCAAGAAGTAGAACAGCATCTGTTCTCTATCGGTTTCCTCTGTTGTTGTTTATAATTCAATTCACCTTTATTTATATAGCGCTTTTACAATGTAGATTGTGTCAAAGCAGCTACACATAGAAGATTATAGTGAATTGAAACAGCGTCAGTCCAGTGTTTAGAGTTGAAGTTCAGTTCCAGTGCGGTTTAATTTTCACTGCTGAAAGTCCAAACACTGAAGAGCAAATCCATCCATGCGCAGCTCCACCAATCCCAAACCAAGCAAGCCAGTGGCGAGGAACAAACTTCATCGATAGAAAGTGATGGAAAAAACCTCGAAAGGAACCAGACTTAGTTGGGCACCACCATTTATTATATGGCCAAACTTCCTGTGCAGAGCTGCAGTCTAGACGCCGAAGAAAAAGAACAGCATCTGCTCCGTATCTGTGTCCTCTATTGTTGTCTACAAGGGCGTCAAAAAATGTTGGGAAAGTGCAAGGGGTTTCGCTTTCTCTCTCTAATTGCGTTTGCTTGCTGAACTATTTATTTTTTATTCTATATCTAAAAACACTTACTTTAGCTCAGCCATAAGCACAACACATGATATGTGAATGACTCAAATGGCTTTATTTTTCAAGCAAGAATGGCATCCATTTCATCTTCTGTTTGACACCATATCTACCAAATGGGTACCATTAGTGATAGAAATGCCTGATCAGGGAGACCCATACTGGAACCTACTCAACTGACTGAAACCAGGGCCGGCGTGTCCATAGAGGCGACCTAGGTGGCAGAATAGAAAGGGCAGCGTCCGCGACACTACCCTCACCACCCGCGCCCTCAGTTATATCTGCATCACCGACACTACCCTCACCACCCGCGCCCTCAGTTATATCCGCGTCTAGGACAGCGTCCCTGACACTACCCTCACCACCCACGCCCTCAGTTATATCCGCGTCTAGGGTGGCGGTGGCGACACTACCCTCACCACCCACGCCCTCAGTTATATCCGCATCCCCGACACTACCCTCACCACCCACGCCCTCAGTTATATCCGCATCCCCGACACTACCCTCACCACCCACGCCCTCAGTTATATCCGCATCCCTGACACTACCCTCACCACCCACGCCCTCAGTTATATCCGCATCCCTGACACTACCCTCACCACCCACGCCCTCAGTTATATCCGCATCCCCGACACTACCCTCACCACCCACGCCCTCAGTTATATCCGCATCCCTGACACTACCCTCACCACCCACGCCCTCAGTTATATCCGCATCCCCGACACTACCCTCACCACCCACGCCCTCAGTTATATCCGCATCCCCGACACTACCCTCACCACCCGCACCCTCAGTTATATCTGGATCACCGACACTACCCTCACCACCCGCGCCCTCAGTTATATCTGGATCACCGACACTACCCTCACCACCCACGCCCTCAGTTATATCCGCATCACCGACACTACCCTCACCACCCGCGCCCTCAGTTATATCCGCATCACCGACACTACCCTCACCACCCGCGCCCTCAGTTATATCCGCATCACCGACACTACCCTCACCACCCGCGCCCTCAGTTATATCCGCATCACCGACACTACCCTCACCACCCGCGCCCTCAGTTATATCCGCATCACCGACACTACCCTCACCACCCGCGCCCTCAGTTATATCCGCATCACCGACACTACCCTCACCAACCTCGGCCTCAGTTATATCCGCGTCCCCGACACTACCCTCACCACCCGCGCCCTCAGTTATATCCGCATCACCGACACTACCCTCACCACCCGCGCCCTCAGTTATATCTGCATCACCGACACTACCCTCACCACCCGCGCCCTCAGTTATATCCGCATCCCCGACACTACCCTCACCACCCGCGCCCTCAGTTATATCCGCATCCCCGACACTACCCTCACCACCCGCGCCCTCAGTTATATCTGCATCACCGACACTACCCTCACCACCTGCGCCCTCAGTTATATCTGCATCACCGACACTACCCTCACCACCCGCGCCCTCAGTTATATTCGCACCCCCGACACTACCCTCACCACCCGCGCCCTCAGTTATATCCGCATCCCCGACACTACCCTCACCACCCGCGCCCTCAGTTATATCTGCATCACCGACACTACCCTCACCACCCGCGCCCTCAGTTATATCTGCATCACCGACACTACCCTCACCACCCGCGCCCTCAGTTATATCTGCATCACCGACACTACCCTCACCACCCACGCCCTCAGTTATATCTGCATCACCGACACTACCCTCACCACCCGCGCCCTCAGTTATATCTGCATCACCGACACTACCCTCACCACCCGCGCCCTCAGTTATATCCGTGTCTAGGGCGGCAGAATAGAGACGGCGGCATACGCAACACTACCCTTACCACCGCGCCCTCAGTTATTTCCGCATCACTGACACTACCCTCACCACCCGCGCCCACAGTTATATCCGCATCTAGGGCGGCAGAATAGAGAGGGTTGGGGTTGAGGGCGGCGTGACCGAGCGGCAGTTCAGCTTGCTCCGGCCCTGACTGAAACATATCACTGAGGCAATAGACTTGTCCTGGCATCTATATACTGCTGCTCTTTGCTGATCTCAAGTGCTTCTTTTATCCTCATTTGTAAGTTGCTTTGGATAAATGTGTCTGTTAAATGAATAAATGTAAATCCATGTGTCTGTGTGTGTGTGTTTCAGAGCGGCCGCTACAGGTACAGCGGTGTGTTTGGAGCGCTGCGGTCTGTTTGTCAGACGGAGGGACCGAAGGCTCTGTTCTCCGGTCTGATGGCCACACTGCTCAGAGACGCTCCATTCTCTGGGATATACGTCATGATCTACAGCCAGACCAAACACCTGCTGCCTCCAGGTTTGGCAATATACTCAACACTTACTCACACATATAGTTGACACTTAATGGACACATAGTGGACAAATACTGGACTCTTATTCAATACATAGTAGTGTTGTATGATATACCAATACTAAAAAAAAGTATCGCAATACCCTGGTTCTCAAAACGATACGATTCCGAATTTTTTTTAGCACTTTTTTTAATCATTTTTTAGTGTGTTGCTGACAGAATCACCTTTGTAAATATGGATCAGATGAGATCTGATCCATATTTACAAAGATCAGTAAACAATAAAATATTGATCTGAAAACAGGAGATGAGCCCCTGGTCTAATGCGCCACCTGGCTTGAGAAACACGTTCTCAAAGACTTACTTTAGTCATTATTTGGGCTGCACACATATTCTGAATGCCTTCGGCAGAATTCAAATCAGCCATTTTAATCTAGATTAATTCCAAGATTACAGTGAGATTAATCTAGATTAAACAAATGTATCTATGCCCACATATAATGCAAACACTGTGATTCTCAGAGGAATGCAACAAATAGCAAAGATTCTGTAACGAATGTACGCTTTAGAATCAAACTGAAATTTTAACGAGAAAAAAAAAAAAAAGCAGAATGCAAAGTTTCTCAGAGGAAGCCAACAATTTTTGAGTAAGCATACAATTACTACTACAAAGTTTACAACTTCGCAAATGAAAGGAGAGGGTGCTCGCTGCAGAGCCATTTGAGGAGAGCTGAGCTCCAGCTAGGGGGAGCAAGAGCTGTCGCTCCTCCTCCTGTAAGCTGTTTTAATGCGTACACCAACCCCACCCCTAACCCTACCCCCAATGACATCACTCGTAGAAGAAGTGCAAAAAAGGTGGAGCTCAAGCTTAAGCTCCCCCTCGCTGGAGCTCAGCTCTTCTCAAATGGCTCTGCACCACTTGAATGAAAAAGGATTTCAGAGGAACATGTGCATTTTGTAAGCAAGCCAGATACTAATTTTTATTAGTGAAAGCACAGTTATTTCTAAACAATACAAATTTCATTCATTCATTTTCCTTCAGCTTAGTCTCTGATTTATCAGTGGTCACCACAGTGGAATGAATCGCCAACTATTCCAGCATATGTTTTACGCAGTGGATGCCCTTCCAGCTGCAACCCAGTACTGGGAAACACCCATACACACTCAATTTCACACACACTCATACACTACGGCCAATTCAGTTCATCCAATTCCCCTATAGCACATGTGTTTGGACTGTGGGGGAAACCGGAGCACCCGGAACCCATGCCAACACAGGGAGAACATGCAAACATTTTATAGTCAAATTATATATTTTTTGAGAATGAAAATAAGGTTAGGTAGTCAATAAAGCTATGTCATATTATATCTCATGTTTGTACAGTCTGCTGAGATAACAGTAGCAGGATCATTGCTCTAGAGATTTCTTCATAACAGAGATAAGCAAGCAGTCCAGTCATTCTGACCGGCTCAAGCAGGAAGTCATTGTGTAACGTTGTGTAACATGTGCTGATATACTGTATCTCTGTGTTTCAGAGATCAGCCAGTCGTCTTACGCACCGGTGGCCAACTTCAGCTGTGGGGTTCTGGCTGGTGTTCTGGCCTCGGTTCTGACGCAGCCGGCTGATGTGGTCAAAACTCACATTCAAGTGAGTCCAGACGTCTTCAGCAGGACATCAGATGTGGTGCGCTACATTTACAAGGTAACATTCTCCCCTAAGAAGGCCAAAGAGACCTTGCTTTACTCTGAGTTTACCCTGATTGAGGGGGTTTACTGTATAAACGAAGCGAATGTACACTACCTGATGAAAAAAAGTCTTGTGATCGATCCCAGAGCAACAAATAATAGCTCGACTTCTAGTTAATCATTTGGGAAAGTGTTAGAGGGTGGTTTTTTTCTGCTGAATCATCTGTTGAGTTGCATCCCAATTATCATCAATACTGCAGAAGACCTACGGGAACCCGCATTGAGCCAAGATTCACACAGAAATCATACAAGTTTGGTGAAGGAGAAATCATGGTTTGGGGTTATATTCAGTAGGGGGGCGTGTGAGAGATCTGCAACATCACCAGCCTGAGGTGTCAAGACATTTGTGCTGCCCATTACATTACAAACCACAGGAGAGGGACAATTCTCCAGCAGGATAGCGCTCCTCATACTTCAGCCTCCACATTAAAGCTCCTGAAAGCAAAGAAGATCGAGCTGCTCCAGGATTGGCCAGCCCAGTCACCAGACATGAACATTATTGAGCATGAAGGAAGAGGCATTGAAGATAAACACAAAGAGTCTTGATGAGCTCTGGGAGTCCTGCAGGAACGCTTTCTCCATTCCAGATGACTTTATTAGTCAAAGTCAAAGTCAAGTCAAAGTCAGCTTTATTGTCAATTCAGCCACATGTACAAGACATACAGAGAATCGAAATTGCGTTACTCTCAGACCCAAGGTGCTTAACATTAATATAAAATATATATATATAAAAAATAGTAGAGTTTAAGAAAAAAAGAAAATTTACAGTATATACAGTGCACATAAATGTGCAATACAAATATACATATGTAATAAAAATTGTAAACAATACAGTGACATTAAGGGCATATAGCAACGAGTGCAAAGTAAACCAGAGTTGTGCAGATAAAAAACAGTATAGTGCAAAAAGAACTTGTAAACATGATAATTGTGATAAAGTGACAGTGACATATTGGGAGGTAGTATAGTGTGTCTGCATAAAGTGACCAGTGCAGATGAGTGTGTGTGTGTGTGTGTGTATGTGTGTCAGAGTCCAGAGGTGCGAGGGGAGGAGGTGCGTGGGGAGGGAGCGGGGAGCAGAGCTGGGAGAGAGTTCAGCTTCCTGACAGCCTGATGGATGAAGCTGTCTTTCAGTCTGTCTTATTAATCAGTGATTTGAGTCAGTGCAGAGATGTATGGATGCAGTCCTCCAAGCTCATGATGGAGTCAGACACAATATTCATTCTGTCTCCACTGCAGCAGCACTTTATACTCTATACTGGACATTATCTCTGTTCAAGACTTTAGTCTAAGCAAAGTCAGACCTTACTGTGCTAATGAAATCATTAATAATCATGATCATGTTTTATTGTGCTCAAATAAGCAAAATCTAGAGGCCTTTGCCTTTAATATGAGACACTTCTGATACCAAATCATCAACCAGAAGTCTAGTTATTATTTGCTGTTCCTAAAACGTGTATTGGCGACAAGACTCTTGTCTGGTAGTGTATGCTGTATAAGATGGTTGTAAAATGGTGCATTGATAAAGAGTTCAGCCATGCCAACACAACACATATAAACACAGCTCATCTAATCAGCTCACAGCTGTTTGATTGATAATGCTGCAGCATGAGTGACATACGGGATTTCCAAACCTCACAAAACAGATTTCCACAAACACTTGTTGATGATGTCGACCCAAAAATGAACGTTTACTCTCCCTCAAACGGTTTCTTTTTGACTCTTACATTTACATTTACATTTAGTCATTTAGCAGATGCTTTTATCCAAAGCGACTTACAAATGAGGACAAGGAAGCAATTTACACAACTATAAGAGCAACAATGAATAAGTGCTTCATAAGTTTCAGGTGTGTAAAGAAAGTGTAAGAAGCAAAACTTTAGTATTTTTTATTTATTTTTTTTTTACTCTTCCTTCTGAAGATATTTTGAAGAATGTTGAAAACCTGTAACCACTGACTTTTATTGTAGGGAAAACATATACAAACAGATATGTTTCTGGAGACCGCGAAATACGTCCCAGGAGGTACGTATTTTTGCAGTTTTTGTTTTCGCGGGTTCGCTGTGTGCACTTTTTCATATCTCAAATGTCTCTCGTGAGTGCCGGTCGCGCCCGCTGTTCTCACGTAAACCCACTAGAGGCCGCTGTGGGCCGACCGTCTGTCTAACTGACTGAATGACTGACTGGGCAACCGGCCAATCGGCTGACCCACCCTCCTCTTTCCCTAAACCCAACCAATTTTACTGATTGACCCGCCCGCCCACTTACTTCCCTAAACCCAGCCAACAGTTTACAAAAGCTGTCCAGAAAAGAAAAGCCCTCGTCGTATTTTTACCACGTTTTCAGATTTCACCACATTCTCACCCTGTTATAGACCTTTTACACAAAAACCGGAAGTACGTCAACAACGTGTAAACCCAGTTCCGGTATGAGTTTTTTGACGGAGAAAAGGCAGCTAGAGTGTTTGCGGCGAGCCTGAGTTGTCTTCCAAAGTTAATTAAATAAGTAATTAAATACATGCAGTTAAAATAGGGGAGAGCGGGGTAGAACCTAACACAGGGCCAGTTGTAACACACTTGTTTGAAACACTTCCACACATGCTAGTATGATAAAACTTAGTGTATTTACTAGATGTCACAGCAATAAATTGTTTTATTGTTAAAAAAATATATTTTATTTTATTAGTTGAGTTTCGTGAACAGCTTATATTATTAACATTAATTTGTTCAGGTAGATTTGCATAACGGTACACACAGGTGACTAGCGTTAACTAAATACACTATGAACAATCTTAACTGCAGGTGGGATAGAGGTAAAGCTGGTTTTATATTTGCACATTCAGACTTTCCCCTTAACAATATAATTTCTTTAAAATATTATTTGCAAACTCTAAATAGCGAAATCATATTAGCAGCCAATGACTGTCAAAGTACAGCAATGTTCACAGTCAAATAACCAGTGTTAATGTTGTTTTCAAGTCATGTTTGCATGGTTATTTCGATCGAATATTCAAAGTAACATGGTAAATAATATAGAGACTTCTAAATGAAGGAATGTGTGAATATAAAACCAACTTTACCTCAATGCAGGTGGGTGTGTCACGTAGTCGTGATCCATGCTTACTGCACCATGTCGCTATCTTCACAGCATAGCTGTTTAGACTGACGTTCTGTCATATACGGACTCCCTTCTCAAAGGAGCTGTAAAGTTGTTCTAAGGGAATAGGCTCGGGACAACACCACTCTTCAGGCGGCGAACGACGCAGCCACCACTGTAATCATCCGGAACGAAGTGTCGGCTGCAGACATAAGTGCTACCTGTTTTACATGAAAACTATGCCCTTCCTCTCTTCAGATCGCCTGTATCCATTTGGGTTGGATCCACAGGAAAAGAATGAAATAAAAGGTAGTTCTGTTTTTGGTTAGAAGACGAACAGCCTGGAACACAACAGAAACTGCGATTCTTCGACTCTGCCATTTTTTGTATCTGCCGCTATGACAACAGGAAGTTCTAATGCACTACATTGACGTATTTCCGTTCGAAAAATGCGGAAGTGCGTAAAAGGTCTATTCACTCGTTTATTTTACTTTTTGGATTCTCTTTTTCTCTTACCTGATTTCTGGACCCGCTCTTACCGGGACTCGAACCCGGTCGTCGTCAAGGTCAACTCCTCTCTGCATCTCAAGTCCGCCGACGTACATGACAAGCTACACACACATTAGCCCCACAGCATTAGCATTAGCCCATTAGCATTCGCTTAAAAAATGAAATGCAGCCATACATACCTCCGGTTACATAACTCGCAGTCTCCAGAAACATCTACGAGACTACGTTATCAGAATGAGCCTGTGATGCCAATAGCGGAGAAACCGGAGCACCCGGAGGAAACACACGCCAACACGGGGAGAACATGCAAACTCCACACAGAAATGCCAACTGACCCAGCCGATACTCAAACCAGCGATCTTCTTGCTGTGAGGCGATAGTGCTACCCACTGCGCTGCCCTAAACAGAAATATAGATTTTAGAGAAATGTCTAGGGAACTTTGTGTTTTGGGGGGTTGTTCGTTCTGCTGTGGTGACCCCTGATAAATCAGGGACTAAGCCAGAGCACAGTGATTAAGTGAGAAAGTAGGATTTTAAAAATGCACCTCTCTGTCTGTCTGTCTGTCCATCAGGAGCACGGTTTGGTGGGGTTTTTCCGCGGCGCGGTTCCTCGCTCTCTCCGGAGAACCATGATGGCGGCGATGGCGTGGACGGTGTACGAGCAGCTGATGGCTCAGATTGGGCTCAAATCCTGAAAACCACCAAAGCACATCATCACACACACTGAATGAGAGGTTTGTTCTGGATGTTCAGCGGTTTACAGGCCCATCCGGTGAGATCCTCGCCTCAGGGGATCATATAGGTGGGAAACACGAGAGCATGAGTGAGCGAACTCCTGCATCCGGCGGGAATCAGGCGGCTTTGCTTCTCTTTGTCCAAATGAATAGTCCTGTAACACTGATGCTGAGCTGTGAATGCACTTGAATGTCTCAGCTCTGGTCTAAAGAGTAGCTGAATAACACTGAATGTATTTGTATGCTGTAATAAGTGTATTGTCTGAGGTGTTTGTTGACAGCATTGAGACGATGGTCATGTTTGCTGTGTTGTTTAATGTTAGTTTGGTTGACAGATGAACTCAACAGTATTTTTATAAAATTCAATAAAATGATTAAACACCTAAACTTATGTCTAATTGTGTTTTTCTTATTCAGACAATCAGAATCATATCAGCCTATCTGAATGAGTTTTTTAGTAACTTTTTTAATTTTCAAACGCTGTAAAATAAGCGAAACAACCCAATATATGAGTCAGTGAGGAAAATCATTTCTTTAAGGGGTGTATTTTGATCTGATACAGTGGCGTAGTCGTGGACGGGCATGTCGTATACATGAAATATGTTTAAACTGAAAAATTCATTGGCTATATTAAAAATTAATAAAAACAAATGTGTAAATACAAATGTAAATATAGTAAAATATAATTAATTTACAAAATGACAGACTCAAAAGCTTTGCTCTCCTAATTGAAGGCAAACTGTTGTAGACCTTTTTAAAGTACATTTATGTCATGTAGGCCTATACTTTTTATGTTTTGTATTATGTTTAATAATTGTAGACCGAAAAAAAAGGCCGATCCACTCCCTTTTCTTTCTGACCAACTGATGTTTAATAATTGTAGACATCAGTTGGTCAGAAAAAAAAGAGAGTGGATTAGCCTATTTTGTTGGAAATAATCCTCGTTTTGGAACAAATTTTGTTTGGTGTAATTTGTATCTTAATTTTATTTTTAATTTAAATTATTTTTAAATTTAATTAAATTCATAATTTTTTTATTTAATTAATTTTTTATTTAAATTATTTTTTGCAATTTAATACATTTTTTATTAAAATATTTTTTTATTTTAATTTAATTTAAGTTTTAATTGTATTTATTTACTTATTTATTTAATTTTTAAAAATTAATTAGTTTTCTAAATTTTACTTAATTTTTCATTCATTCATTCATATTTTCTTGTCGGCTTAGTCCCTTTATTAATCCGTGGTCACCAAAGCAGAATGAACCGCCAACTTATCCAGCAAGTTTTTACGCAGCTGAGGCCCTCCCAGCTACAACCCATGTCTGGGAAATACTTATTTTTTTTTATTTTTTTTTTATTTAATTTATTTTCAATTTTTTAAAATTTAATTTTATATTCAATTTATTTTTTATTTAACCTTTTTTTAATTTAATAAAATAAAAAATATTGGCATTTTTTGTTTAATTAATTTTTTATTTAGTTTATTTTTTATTTAATTATTTTTTTATTTAATACATTTTTTAATTAAATGAGATTTTTTATTTTATTTATTTATTTTTGTAATTTATCTGCAAAATAATTTACTTGAGGTGAAGGTGTGTTCAAGGCAAAGCTTCTGTGGCCAAAACCAAAGGATAGAAATAGGAGGGAAATATTCACAGTTTTGAATAATGACTTATTCTTATACACTGTAAAAATGCCGGGTTCCACACAATTCATTCATGTTGTCCCAACACAAATTGATTAACTTAACACGTTTAATAAATTTATGTGGATTGAACATAAAAAAATTATGTTGTCTCAATGAATTCTCAAGAATTGTGTTGTTTCAGCTCATTTTAAATAAGTAGTTTGAACAAGTAAAAAAAAAAATTGAGTCTATATGTATGACCAAAAAACAAAAGATTGTCTTGTTTAAAACTGTTATCGCTGTGAATTCAGTTACACTACACAAATAGAATATATACAGTTGAAGTCAGAACTATTAGCCCCCTTTGAATTTTGTCTTCTTTTTAAGTATTTTCCAAATGATGTTTAACAAGGAAATGTTCACAGTATGTCTGATAATATTTTTCTTCTGGAGAAAGTCTTATTTGTTTTATTTAAGCTAGAATAAAAGCAGTTTTAAATTTTTTAATAGCCATTTTAAGGTCAAAATTATTAGCTCCTTATGCTTTATTTTTTCGACTGTCTCCAGATCAAGCCATCATTATACAATAACTTGCCTAATTACTCTAACCTGCCTAGTTAATCTAATTACCCTAGTTAAGCCTTTAAATGTCACTTTAAGCTGTATAGAAGTGTCTTGAAGAATATCTAGTCTAATATTATTTACTGTCATCATGGCAAAGAGAAAATAAATCAGTTATTAGAGATGAGCTATTAAAACTATTATGTGTAGAAATTTGTTGAAAAAATCTTCTCTCCATTAAACAGAAAATTGGGGAAAAAAATAAACAAGCAGTCTATTAATTGAGGTGGGCTGACATCAACTCTCTCTCTCTCTCTCTCTCTCTCTCTC